ATTTATAAACTTTAAAGATCATTTTACAACAAAATTTAGCTCATTCTTCATTCTAATTGTTAAACCCTAAACACACCAAAAAAGGTAAAAAAAATATGTACATATGTCAAGTATAATTTTTTTTTATTCAAAATTCTTTAACTAATATTACTGTAGTAAAAACACTAATAACTATAGTAAATTTTAGGCATTTTTGATAATACAACAACAATAACTGATACCTTCTTTTAGCGCTCTGTTAAGCAACAGCTATTTTTGAACTAATTTTTCTGTTGGTTTACTGCAAGAAATCAGAGAATTGTAATTCAAAGAACAGTAACCAAATAGAACTGTTTCATATGACAAAAATTTTTTTTCTGTTGTTTGAAGAATAATAGAAAAAAAAAAAAACAAAAAGATAAAATATCATTATACAGTTACAATTGTATTTGACTGCACAATTGAATCTTCAAATCAATCATCGCACAATGGCCTAAAATAAACCTTTTTAAAGGGTTCTTCAATCATGTTCGCATCTGTAACTTTGCTGAATGTTGATGCTTCGATACCAGTATCCAACGGTGACAAAGAATCTTCAGCCACTTCTTTTGCATCCAGTTCTTCACTGGATCTTTCGCCTTTATCTTCGATCACTTCTCGTGGTATACAGTCTGGTGGAGACAAACGAGCCTAAAGACAAAAAATAGAAAAAAAAATATATATATATATATATAAGAAAGATTATTAGCTAATAAACAGTTTATTTTTTAACTTTGTAGCAACATTCAACTGGTAGTCTAAATAGTTGCAAATTAAACGTTGTTACCTTTTGTGGTTGCGTCGGTTCAAATTCTTCACGTACATCTTCACTTATCGGATTAGTATCTGTAACAATTATCATTGATTCATCATTTGGTTGTAACTTTGGTTTTTCTTGTTGAGTTGGTGGTAACGATTGGAATTCATCAATTGCTGCTGCTGTATCAGGAAGCACCTGTTCATCGGGAAATGCTTCAACCTTTGTTGGTTCATCAAATGAACCACCAATTCCATCAAATCCTTCATCACCATCCTGTTCTTTGCCAGTATTTGTTTCGATACCTTAACAACAACAACAACAAAATACAGATTATCAAAAAAAAAAA